TCCACCCCCCCCCCATCTCCCCATCACTATCAAATTTCACTCAAACCGCGAAGTGTGTGTGTGCGTGCTGCGTGCGGTGCACAATGCATGCGATGTATCAATCGTCAGCGCAATTTGGCAGTCTCTCGCTTTGACTACTGTGTGTGTGTGTGTTGAGCTGGGCTCCTACCGGACTGTCGTCCCCACCTCTCTCTCCTGCTCCTGTGACACCTGTGGCGGCAACATACACACTCGCACACTCCAGCGCGTGTGGACAATCGTTACACTCTTGTCATTCGAGAGCTTTCTCTCCAGGTAGGTAGCTCGGTCGCTCACGAGTGTGAGAGCAATGTTACAACTTCCTGCGCACAAATTTTCCTGTGGTGGCGTAGTTCATGGACAGACCCAAATATGTCCAGGAGGGGTGGTATAAGTGGTGTGTCGTCTATTAATGCCCTATCTCATTCGTGCCATGTATCCTTCTATATCTCACTCTTGTGGTGACTGTTATATGAGCCAATCGGTAATTTGTGCCTGAAACCTTGCAGAGAAAATTGCCTCTTATTGTGTAACCATAGCGTGTTTGTTGCTGTATTTTTTACATACCTACAACATATTCTCAACAAAGGAATTAAGTGATCGATTGGAAGCTGGTACCTCTTTGATCAAGTCAACCAAAAATAGGGAGATCTTCAAGTACATGAAATATATCCTTTCAGAATAGCCACTTCCTAAAATTGTTAGCGGTTTTAGTCCAGAAAAAATGGGTCTTACATTTACGCTCTCTCATTCCTCTAATTTCATTAAAACTATTAAATTTATCTATTCCATTTCACAAAATGCAACGAAAACATCATGAATAAAGGGCATGCTACTCCCTTGTGCAAATATACACATTGTCCTATTAGGTCTGTTTGCGAATAAGTAACCACTTATTCTCGACGTATTGACAGCTCTGTTCTGCGAGTTATACGTGACTGACAGCGGGTTTCTGAGACTTCCTCCCAGGATCTCCATTTTTTCGTATTCCTCTCACTGCCTTGGACTTCTATCTTAATTATTTTTTGACTGAAAGAGTTAATTTAATATGAAGGCAATGATATTAACTATAATTGGATTAAGTCATTCAACCTTCAGTTCTTTATCTGATTGATTGCGCCCATTAATTTATCCATTTACTCCCAGATGTTTCCTACGATTTAAAACCTTATTTTGCATATTCACCTTTCAACTGAAAGTGACTTAATTAATAATAGTTATTCGATTTATAGGTTAGCAATCATGAATTATCTCCATTCGGGTCTAAAGTTAGAAGATAGCACTCAAGATGTCTTGTTTAAAATAAACGCGAACTTAGCTAGTAATGAGGAATAAGAGTAGCTGCATTCCCATACATCTTTTGGCGGCGAGTTTCATTTCATTTCAGCTTAATAAGATGAATAGTAATGGCTACTGTAAATTTGAACCACAATTAACCATTTTCTTGGATTCAGGACACAAGGGCGTTATGTTAGCCATCAGCCCAGCGTACTTGGTATTACGAGGCTGGAGTAATGGCAGCGAAATTTGTCATTGCAAGGGACAATCACGCAATCTGTCGACCAGATCAGAGTGCTGTTACCGCCGATCTTGGTTTAGATTTCAACGAGGCTCCCAAGCCTCAATGGAGTATTTGACGCCATATTAGAAATATTAATTGACCGTAAAGTCCTGCCAAACAGAGCGGGGAGGTTGGGGGGGGGGCGTAATTTTAACAAGCTCCTTTGTTAAGTCGAATTCCCCATTCATTCTGGTCTAAACTGATTTGTGGGAGAAATTTCTTGCTTGATTATGTTGCATATGATGCCAACTTTATGGGAAATTTGATTGTAAAGGGCATTTGGCAGCAAGGTTTGATGTGACCTGTGGAGCCTAAATTATGTATACAATACAACTTCTTATGAAGGTTGGCTTTGTGCTCTAGAATACGATTAAATACCAAAATTCATCTCGACTGTGTAACGTTATTATTACTATAACCATATCAAGCACAATTAGGGTTAATGAATGCTATTTATTTATATCAAATGGCAGGCGTTATGATAGTTATCATTAGCCCTTTAGTTGACTTCAGGCTTCACAGAGGGGAAGGAAACTCAAAGTGAAAAAAGTTGAGAATGGGGGGGGGAAGAGAAGAGTGTTTCAAAGAAGTAAAAGAAACAGACACAAAGGTAGAAAAAAGGTGAGGTGATTACTGTGGAAATAGTGGAATATGACATAGATTGGGGTGATCGTTACTGTGTAAGTGGTCGAATATGACATACAGTGGGGTCATGGTAGTGTGTAAGGGGTCGAATATGACAACCAGGGGAGTCGTGGTAGTTTGGTGGTCGAATATGGCATACAGTGGGGTCATGGGGCCGTATGAATAGTGGAATATGACATAGATTGGGGTGATGGTAGGTTGAAGTGAGAAGTCAACTGCCAGTTAATAGACTTGTTTGCCGTATGAGTATACGTTGCCCAGGGTGCATCACGTGAAGGTAAGTCTATTACGCACCCCGGTTTAATGAATGTTGGGATGGAAAGTCCCAAATGTGATTGGAGTATGACCACTTGTTTTAGAGAAGGTCAAATATCCTAGGCTGACCATTTAAAAGTTGTTGCTTAAGACCCAACTGATCCCTATTAATAAGGACAAATGGACGTGTGCATTCAAGGAATACTGGATGAGTTCACAACGGTTGATAAGACATCCACAACTATGCTGGCAAGGTGTAAGAGACTCGATCACTTTTTATTTCGAATTCAGCGAGGCTAGTATCCAATCAAATCTATTCAAAATTGATTATAAAGGAGCAGTGAATTTAAACCGAGGAATTGAACGCGTCTTGACGATATCAAAACGAGGATTATCTCGAGCTGGTTTTGAAAATATTAGAGGAATGTAGTGTATCCAAATAAAAGTGGAATATATAGACAAATATGCCATTAATTTGAACAGTGATATACCTGGTTTCTGGTGAAATGTGACTCTTTCCATTCTAAGTATCTGAATCACCTATAAAGCCCACATCAATATTGACAGCTTTTATTTTCAAGATCGAATATGAAAGCAGTAGAGATTACTGTCCATGTGCATAACCAGTGGCCATTTGGAATTAATATTGTGTTGTCCACGAGGGAAGAGTTAAAATTAATTAAAAGAAAACCTCCGTTCTGTATCGAAACAACAAGAAGACCAGGTGCTGCGTCACAGCAGAGACATGCACACACGCACGCGCGCACACAGATGTTCAAATTCCAAAAATTTCCCATGAGTTGGCGTTGCTGGTTATCCCTGAGGCAACAAGACACAAGGGGACTAACCTTGTAAATAAATCAAATTTAAATTAATACGAGGTATTTGAAATAAAATATTGCCATGAAATTATGTCAAATTTATTTTAATTGTCCATTTGATATTTAGAACTACGGCATTTACAAGCCTTCAGTTAATTTAATTTCACTCATGATCTGTGAATAATAAATTAGCATGAGTCATTGAAATAAAAGCATGAACTTTTAGATGTACATTTCAATAAATAAGGGTGACCATCAGAGAAGTGACATTCGGACAATTTGATTTTGATATGGAAGGCTTTCTACTCCCTTTTACCGTCAATATCTTTTGAATCGAGAAATATCATTTTAGTGCAATAAAATTACCACTGCATGAAAATTTATTTTTAAATGGGAAGAATTATTTGTCAAATAATTTTTCAACAAAACATATTTAATTAATGGTAGCATAAAAGGTGCACTTATCAAAAATGGTAGAATCGACAATTTTCATTAAAGGATGCTTTTATGAAACGCAGCTNGGGGGAGATTTTCTGAATTTTGGAGTCGGATTGCATAGTATTTACTAAATGGGAATTTTACAATTTGTCAACTGCGTTATGGATCAAATATCGCTCCATGATCTCTAATGGTTATGGACTGGTAGCTAAATTCTGTTGATCAGTGTTGCCACTTTAGGTCATATTTGTTCTTCCAAATGAAAGCAGACCACTTTCAAACATCTCATAAGGTGGGCAAACGGTGCATTAACTGCCTAAAGTTAAGTTCAGGACAATAGAAGTGGCACTCAAACCCCCCCCTCCCTAGCTTAAAATTTACCCGTGTTAGGAATAAGTTGAGCATACAGCCACGATTTGTAATTGTTCATTACTGGATGTGCACTTCATATAACTATTCCAAATTCAAGACTTTTGCACTTATAAATACTCTGCTTACCTTATCTTGACTTAGTATCGTCTGCGGACAGGTGGACTCGCAAAAATCATTTCCGCCCTTACCAATTAACCCCATTTATCCCAATTTATGCATGCCAACAACCCAAAGGCTACCGTTTAATTCTGACCAACAACAAATTAATCAACCAGTTACAATGATTCAAGACCCTCCTAATCAACAACAACAACAACCCCTCTCCGCGTACCAGTCTTCCACCAACAAATTTCGATCTCAAAGCGGACTCATAGAACTCCTCGGGACGAGAACAGTGAAAGCACCATCTAATCCCATTTCGCCAAAAAGTGAAACTGAATTGAAGTCTCAGCAATGCGATGAAAATGGGGCCAATGCCATGGCTGATAATAGTGCTGTTCCTCGGTCTTCTTACATGTGCCGAAAATGTCGGGCTCACGGTCGTCTGATTGCTGTTCGTCAGCACAAACGAAACTGTCCCTACAAACACTGCTCATGCTCCGTTTGCTCTCTGGTCAATTATGGACGACATATTGTGGCACGTCAAATAGCCCTCTATCGGGATCAAAAGAATAACCACAACGATGAGGGTGGTAACCTCGGAAGGGGTTCACGAGGCGACAAAACACGCGGTGCTGACAAAATTGATAGTGAAGACGAGGGGCCACACTGCCGGCGTTGTCGCAATCATGGAAAAACGAATCCCTGGAAGGGTCATAAGAAGGTGTGTCCGTTCTATTATTGCATTTGTCAACAGTGCATTCTAATCACACTGCGAAAGTCCAATGAGAAGAACCTTCGTAAGTCGGAGATAACCTCATTACTTATTATTTGAAAGTAGCTTTTACCTGAGCTTTCGTTTTTAGGCGAAGTAGTTCAAGAGTCTTATAAAGAGCTGGGATTGAAGATGTCGAAGAAGCAGCAAATTTCAGAGAATGCAAACTTTGTAGCCCCATTTTATAACAAGAAGACTTCGAAATCTGGTCAAGAGAAACAGCCACATAATCAAGAGCAAGAGCTACCGCCAGCCTACCAAGAAAGTTATGGCCTAAGATGGAGAAATCATGAATCTGGAATAGAGTCTGCTGAAAATAATACTCGATTCTTACAAGCGAATGTTCAACAACAAAACGATTTCTACAACGTTCGAGCTCACCATGCCGCCGCATTTGCAGCGGCAGCTGCAGCAGCTGTGGCTTTTCAGCAGGAAAATGTGATGACGTCTATTGATTCGGTCCCTCCTCTCAAAGAAGAAAGCCATATGGATTGTGGAGCCCAACAGATGAGTCAAGTTGAATACCCCCTGCAGGATAACTGGATTTGCGGAAATGAAATCAAATGTGCTCTTTCACCAAAGGGTATTACTTCAACCCAGATGGAAGAATTTTCGGGTCATAATGGATTCAATACATTCTGGCAATCAGGATCTCTTCAGTCAATCAGAAACGAGGAACAACTGCGTACAGGCAAGTTAAGCTGGTAGTATTCTCAAAAACCACTAAGTATTTACTAAACAGCAGATAACAAAATTCTAAAAAAAAACATTGAAGCAAACCATTTCAATCAAACGGTTCACTTAAAGTGCCCTTTAGAATTGATGCATATTCGATCTTTTTTCAAAAGGATGACAAAAGAAAGCTTTTTATCACCTCCAAGAAATCACTCAGTATATGGTGTGATAATATATATGGCAGAAATTGCAGAGACATTCGATGCCAAACGAAGTTATGACTGATTTACTTCATTCATGAACTTCGAAATAAATTTAATAAAGCGGAGTTAGCTCTTTCTTAAGAAGTATGAACCGAGCTCGTCAGATTTTTTTGCACATTTTTGATGAATCCCTCCATTTTATTGCTCATTTTCAGATCCAATGCCGCTTTCAACTTGTCATGAAACTTCGGAACACCTTGAAACAAACGGAGGACCCACCCCAATGATCTTAGGTCACGGCCAACTGTTGTCAAGCAAAGTTGACAATATTTCTTGATTATTTTTAATTAATTAGCAACCGATGAATTTGTGTGTATGTATATACTCATAGGCGATTTGACTTTCTTCCTCTCTCTACAATCTCTACCTAAATGTTTGTTCATGAATTCGTATTAAAAAAGCATTTATAATAATCTTTCCATTTTTCTAGGCGAATCTGCCATGGTTGATGCAAAATTAAATGCTTTTACTTGAAGTTACGCAGTATTTTGACCAAGCTAGGACATTATTTAAATCAAATGGAAACGTAATTTTAATGGTCAACCAGTGATATCACACCTACTTAAATACTTATCAGTAGCAACTTTGTTGCATCTAAACGTGTTTAAAGATGGGGTATTCGAGAGTGTCTAAAAAGCTAGCATAAATGTCTACCTGAAAGTTCTAGACATAACGATGAAGTCCACCATTTGGTGATGTATCAATTCAGTCTGGAATGTTATTTCGATTTACAAAATCCCGAAAAAAAACAACGAAGACGACTATTCCGAGAAAAGAAGTATTTTGTATTTTGTAGTTCCTTTGAGATTAATTTAGGTAAAATTATGCTTAATGTAGGAAGGAAAAAAACAGATAAGCTAATCTAAGCTTTATACATAAATTAGTAAACAACTCGAAACTTGTTTCTATGAACTCATTAGAACGAAAGCATTTTATAAGGGAAGAACTTTGCAATATTGAATATTGAAATTACTTGGGACGAATGAAATGCTCATTAGTTCGAAAGGAAATTAGGCAAAATTAGCTTGGAAATGCATTACACACAACAATTCTCCTCTGGTAAAGACAAGGGACTCACTCCATTTGCCTAACAACGAGTTATCAACCTGATTAGTACAGCTTCTGAGATAATTTGGTACTGTTCAGATTTACGAATATGCGAGTTAGAGTCTTAGTTTCCAGAATGTGATGTTTTCTGTGAAATGGAGATATTGGTGTGTTGATGATCACTTGGGCATTAACCAACACCGAAGCACCTGTCCCTTCAAATTAACCAAGAATAATGAAGTGATACCGGTCAAGACACCAAGCCACAATTTGTATTTAGTAAGTAAATAAACTCGAGTATTCATATTACATAAAATGCAAGTCTGGACTAGTGTAGAGGCTTTTTCGTTATTGTTAGAGAGTCCCAAATGTAATAATTATGAACTAATTCCAAATCGATCGACTTGAGATCTACTTTCCAAGAATGTGCCTTTCAAACGGGTGATCAAGAAGGTCTTCTAAATCTTTTCAACCCCCCCCCC